GAGTCAAAATGATTTACTATATGTCCCTGTGCAGGGAGTTTGCTGACCTCTGCCCCAGATAGTTCTCTCTTCTCCACTGGCCAGCAATGACCTCTGATGATGACTTTTCAACCTATAAATTCAGCCCCAACCTTCCTCTAGACCCACACCTGTTTCCGGGGCATTTCAACCTGGATACCCCACTCAGCATCCCAAACCCGACTCGTGGGTTTATTTACCCTGGATCTCCACCTCCTTGCATGTTCCCAACTGAGGACCCCGTTGGCCAAACCAGGACTCTTGAGAAGTATCCTTGTCCCCAGCTCTCCCATCCTCCCACATCTGCTCAGTACCAAGTTCCGTCCATTCTCTTTCCTCAACTACTCTTGCATCTTCATTTGTCTCCTTTCCCACAGCTTCTGCCTGGTGGGGCAAAGAAGAGCCGGGATGGGGGAGCTGGGATGCCTGAGCATCAGCCCTGACTTTGCCACCACTGACTGTGGACCAGGGCACGTTTTGGAGGCCTGGGTTCCTCATCTGGAGCAGTAGAGACCTGCCTCCTGGGCTTGCTGTAAGGATTAGGCTTCCAAGCTGCATTGCATATTTCACCTTGAATCTGTAACATAAAGTGCTGTGGGGGTGGCAATGTATGTGCGTGCTCAGTTGCTCAGTCCTGTCCAGCTCTTTACAACCCCAAGAACAGTAGCCGGCAAGGCTCCTCTGTCCACGGAACTTTCCAGGCAAGAATACTGGAATAAGTTGCCATTTCCTACTCCAGGGGATCTTCCTGACCCAGGGATCAAACCTGCATGTCCTGCCTCTCCTGCGCTGGTAGGTGGATTCTTCACCACTGAGGCTGGCAGGGCATGGTATAAAAGTGAGGACTTTTCTAGCCTGCTCCTTCCTCCAGGCAGCCTCCCTAGATGCCCCAGATACATGACACCAGCCCCCTCCTTTTTTCCAATTTTTATTTGGCTGCATTTGAGTCTTAGTTGAAGCATGTGGGATCTAGTTCCCTGACCAGGGATGAACCCAGGCCCCGTGCATTAGGAGCACGAAGTTTCAGCCACTGTACCACCAGGGAAGTATCTCCCCTCCATCTCTTGCTACCCTCTGATCGGCCTCATTTACACTCAGCCCCGCTGCACAATCCATGGGGTGTGTGCTCAGTCCCTGTGGTCAGACTGAGCCCTGGGAGGGCAGAGCTGGACTCCGGCCCATTTCTCTTTCCTTCCACTCAGCACGGGGCCTGGCCCGGAGTTGAGTCCGTAGATGTTTGTGGAACTTGGCCAACTGCCCTCAAGGAACTCATAGAACTTCAGGAGAAACAGAGACCCGGATGAAGAATATGGGCCAGGCAGAGAGATCTGGACGTAAAGTCTAACTGTCCCCACGCAGGAAGATGTCCAATGGGTGACACAGTCTGGGAAGGGCTAGTCCTGGGTTTGCCAGGATGCAGGCATCCTAGGACCTGTGCCAGGCATCAGGTTCCCATTGGTCAGTGGCTAGGCCACAGGGGTAGTGCAGGGTTTTGAGCATTGCCCCTGGCTTGGGTCGAGCGGAGGGAACCCTCCTACAGAGAGCATCCTTCACGGTCAGTGATTCTGACATCCAGGGTGGCCCCAAGGCTCCTCGACAAACTAAACCCCCTGTCACTGTCCTTCACCCTTTACAAAAGGTTGATGTCCCCCAATTTCTTCAGGACAACCTCTCCTTTGTTCATCTCTAGTCCTTAACACAATCCCCTGTAGCTGGTTTCAGTCTTCAGCTCTGGTTGGGTGGAGCTGAGAACTGTCTTCTCAGCGTGCCCCAAAGTAAACTTTACGGTCAGAGCTGACAGGTCCAGACTTCAAGGAGGCCACACCCAGACCCACACGCCATCCGTGGTCACGGGGAAACACACATTCAGGAACCACAGAGAGGATGGAGGAGCCACACAGAGGGTCTGGAGCTCTCGGGCAAACTGGAAGTCCCCTGGGAATGACTGCAAACATCTTGATGTGCTTTTTCTCTCTTTGTTCTCCCACGGGTCCAGCCTCTGTCCGGGATGGCCTGGAGCAGAGGGCAGACTTAGACTTTGAACCAAGGAAATGGAGTGAGATCAGAGGCTTTTGACAGTTGCAGTTGGACTCTGCGGCAGGACAGCACCCTCACCAGGCAGGCTGCCATCCTGTAAGAGGATTTCCAGGCGTTTCCTGTCCCCGGGCACATCAGCAACTGAGTTCCAAGACCTCGGGGAGGCAGCGGGGAGCCCCTGCCTTTCCTGCCCCAGAGTCTGGGGCCGGCGGGGGGGAGGAGAGGGAGGGAGGTGGAAAGTCTTGCCCAGTAGGTCCTCCGGAAATCTTTTCCTGAGTGTGGTGGGAGGCAGGCTGCATCCCAAGGCCCCCACCCATCTCAGGCCAACAGGAGGACAAGGAGGATAGGAAAATGAGCTGAGAGGAGGATGGCTTTCTTTTTTATAAATGTTCTTTATAATTTTCTAAATTTTATTTTTTAATTGGAGGAAAATCACTTTACAATGTTGTAATGGTTTCTGCCATGGATGTGTATGTGCTAAGTCACTTCAGTCATGCTTAACTCTTTTTGACCCTATAGACTGTAGCCCACCAGGCTCCTCTGTCCATGGGGATTCTCCAGGCAAGAATACTGGAGTGGGTTGCCATTCCCTACTCCAGGGGATCTTCCCAACCCAGGGATCGAAGCCGCATCTCTCTCGTGTCTCCTGTGTTGGCAGGTGGATTCTTTACCACTCACACCACCTGGGAAGTCTAGTTTCTGCCACACAACAATGCTAACCAGCCTAATTATACATAGATCCCTCCCTCTTGAGCCTGCCTCCCCTCCCCCAGCCCACCCTTCCCTCTAGATCATCAGAGTGCCTGGCAGGGCTTCCTGCTATAAGGCAGTTTCTCACCAGCTATCTGTTTTACACATGGAAGTGTATGTATGTCTAGGCTACTTTCTCCACTCATCCCACTCTCTCCTTCCCCAACTATGTTCATAAGTCCGTTCTCTATATCTGCATCTCCATTCCTTCCCTCCAAGTAGGTTCATCAGTACCATTTTTCTAGATTTCATATATGTGTTAATATACAGTGTTTTTCTCTTTCTGACTTACTTCACTCTGTATAACAGGCTCTAAGTTCATCCATGTCACTAGAACTGACTCAAATTCCTTTTTTTATGGCTGAGTGATACTCCATTGTATATATGTACTACAGCTTCTTTATCCATTCATCTCTCATTGGACATCCAGGTCTTTGCTTCCACATCCTGGCTATTGCAAATAGTACTGCTATGAACACAGGGGTGCATGTGTCTTTCAATTATGGTCTTCTCAGGGTATATGCCCAGTAGTGGGATTGCTGTTGGTGGGAATGTAAACTGATACAGCCACTGTGGAGAACAGTAAGGAGATTCCTTTAAAAACTAGAACTAAAGCTACCATCTGAGCTAAGAGGGTTTTCTAACCAAGCCAGGCTGCCGGATCACACAAGCTCCTAAGCAGAAGGGGCCAGGCCCAGCCACTGCTCTCCGGGTCTCCCTTTCCTTAACCACTCTTCCGTGGTGGACCTGAGCCTTGACCACGGTGCTCCCTCCCCTTCCCTCTTGTGCAAATGTTGTTCCAGGGCAGCAACTCTCAACTGGGGGAAACTGTGCCCCTCAACAAGGGACATTTGGTAATCACAACTTGGCGAGAGGGGTGGGCAAAGGGATGTCACTGGCACTACATGGAAAAGAGACCAGGGATGCTGCCAAACAGCACAGGGCACCCTTTCATGACAGAGATGTAACTGGCCCAAAGGTTCACAGCGCTGAGCTTGGAAACCCTGCTCTTGGTATTAATACTCTAGGTATGGCTCTTGTGTCATTTTAAAATGTGACAAATGCTCCTGAATTGCCCACCAAACCTCCAGGGTGTCTGTAACAATCTACTCCCACAACGCCTAAGTTTGAACTTCAGCCAAAATACAGGATACACATGTCTGAATTCTGAAACCTGCACTTCCCAACATTGTCTTCTTTTATGTAAATAGCCTCCTTCCTGCCATTCGCCCATTCTTATTTCCTTGGGGATTTCTTCTAAGAGTTCCCTGTGTATCCTGCACTCGAGTGCTTTGTATCTAGTCCTCGTACCCTTGTTTTATAGCATCTTCTCACAGAAAATGCTGCGTTTGAGAAAGTTAATTGTCTTAACTGTCTTCTGCTTTCTCTGTCTTTTTAAAGTGTTTCCTATCCTAAAATCATGAACATCATCCCCTGGGCTTTCTTCAGTGACATCATGGATTCATTTTTAAGGTTAGGACTTTCATGTTGGTGCTCTCTCTCATGACTAATATGACACAGTGAATTCCCTCTTCTTTTTTTCCCCTCTTTTTAAAATATATATTTTGGCCGCACTGGGTCTTAGCTGCAGCACACAGCAGCTTTATTGCCGCAGGTGGGATCTAGTTCCCTGACGAGGGATTGAACCCGGGCCCCTACTTTGGGCATGCGAGTCTTACCAGCTAGACCACCAGGGAAGTCCCAGGGAGCGAATTCCCTCTTCTTGCTGCCACCGTGAAATTGTCGGCCTGCCCTCCATCCACAACTGTCCTCACCTTCTCTCTGGTTTCAAGGGCAAGACCCAGTCTGCGCCCCAGGCTCTGCCTCCCCCCTCCCTGCTCACGGCCTGTTCCCTCTGTCATCCAGGGCACACGGGAGCCTCACTACCTGTCCAAGTGCCCACCTGCCGCTGGTTCTCCGGCAGTGACCGCCACCGTCTGCCTGCCTTTTCGGAGCCCAGCCTGGCAAAGAACCCACCCTCCATCCCCTTACCCTCCACCGCAGACCTGCTGCTGAAACGAGCAGATTCCAGCTTCCTGCCAGGGGTGCAAAAACACTCAGGAAATAACTGCAGCTCTACCTTCAGCTGCTGCGTTCCCACACTAGTTATCAATTTAAGTAAGCTCCAATTCCGCACAAAAGTTAACAACAAGCAATAGTTTAATTAACCGGCACTGGAGGGGGCCCTCAGGGGCCAGCACTCACTTTCCAGGGTGGACCGAGGCTCCGGAGTGCACAGCCTGCCCAGTCCCTGATCTACTCCAGTCAAAGCGGCAGCAGAAATGGCAGCCATGGGGCATGAGTCCCAGGTTCAGACCTGGCACCCGCGCCCCCGCGGAGCCGCCCCCGCCAGAGGCGGAGTGGATGGAAGTCAAGTCTCCAATCAAGGTTGCGCAGGAGGCCGTGGGGCGGGACCTGGTGGGCGTGGAGGGGCGGGGCTTGGGCATGGAGGGGCGGGGCACCTGGAGGATGGCACAAAGAAGGCAAAGTGTGCAGAGAAGCCGAAGCAGGAGGAGGGGATGGGAAATGCAGAGAGGACGGGGCCCGGCCCCTAGGTGTGCAAACCAATGAGCAGGTGCATAGCGATTCTCGCTGAAGACACAGGGCCAGCCGGGTCTGGGGGAAGACAAAAGGTGACAGTCAGGGATGCTTGGAGGATCTGGGCGGGCGCCGGTAGGGGCAGGACCAGGGGTAGGACAGAAGGCCCTACTCGAGGCCCTCAGCGCAGTTCAGGCTGCTGCCCATCTCAGGGAGAAGGCTCTGTGGGTCACCACAGGGTCCCCAAAGGCCACTGCCATCGACCAGACTTGTGGCGCCCCAGTGCCAAGGTCGGCCTTAAAGAGTTCCGAGGTCAGTGGATCCAAGCTTGATCGAGGCTCTTTCCAGGCTCTGTGGTCTCAGGGAAAGCCTTCCAGCTCTCAGAGCCTGTTTCCTTGTCTGCAACACGAGATGTTCACAAGTACACCTCATTCTTCAGAGAACTGAGTGAGAACCATTATTCAGTGCTTTGTGAATGAACTGGGGGGGTCTGTCCCTGGTGGAAATCACTGTCCAATGGGGTTGGGACGGGGAGGAAAGGGGCGGTTATGTAAGAAAAACTCAAGAAACAGCCTGAGGGCAAGGTGACTGGTGGGGTCTTCCTGAAAAGAGGGGCGGCCCTCCGCATTGAGAGCCTCCAGGCCTGACCTACCAGCCTCATCAGTGGCTCCCACTTGGCAGACGTTTGAGGACCAGATTTTCCGTGGAGATGACCTGTAGAAGGGGAAGCAGTGATCAGAGCTCCAGGGATCATGCCCTTCCATCCCAGTGAAGCCAATGGGAACCTGGGTTTGTAGATTTCAAGGGACTGGGCAGGGACTCCCCCTTTCCTTTGTCCCACCTCGCAACCCTGTGGCCACTACTTAACGGCCACCCCCCTCACATGGGCCACCACGCACTTGCCTGGCCATGGTCCACTATCTCCCAGAGTCTGGAATCCGTTCCTTGGTACCTTCGCCCGGGATAGAGCTCCCACTTCATGGGCAGCCCAGACACAAACAGACAGCTGGGGGGCCTGGGCATCTGGTTGGGTAACTGCCACAGATGGACCGTGATGCTGACTTCATGCTGGAGGGAAAGACGGGCCCCATTAGGGATGATGAGCTGCACACACAACCAGGGTACTGGATCCTCTGGCCCAGCTGGGGCAGGGGCACTGCCCAGAGCAGAGGTGGGATGGTCATGCTTTTAGAATCCCACACCTAGAGTCTCGGCACCATCAGTTGGGGGGTTTGCCTGGGCCTGAGAGGACTAGTTCTTTCCAGGCCTCCTCTCTGGTACCACCCTCCCACAGGCCTGTACCTCACCTTGCCCCCTGCACCCTGAAAAGTTAGCTTCTGTTTCCAGCCCATCAGAAACGTTTAGGCCTACACAGGACACTCTTGGCTGTCTGTCTTGGCCACTTCCATAGTTTTAAAAATTCTCTTTTTAAAAACAATATATCCATAGAGCTCAGAACCTGGGAGTGAAGTATTTTCCCAAAAAAATATTTTGTAAAATATTTTGATTATCACTTCTTGTGAACATCACACACACAAAGAAAATTAGGTCAATGCAAAAAAGTATAGAAATGCGGGAAAGTCATCAGTCAAATGTAACCAAAGCTCCATGTATGATGCAACTATTAATAAATGTAAAGGTTATTTTACAGTTTTCTATTCTATAGTTGTCTTCTTTTCTTTGTGATGAACACTTTTCCGAGTTAAGAATCTAGCCCTTTATCAGTCATACGATTTGCAAGTGATTTTCCTTAGCCTGTTGTCCTATGACTTTTATGGGAGGGGTTTTGCAAGAGGGATATTTTGAACTATGCAGCAAAATCTCTTTCCCTTTGGATTCTGGCTTAGATCAGGTACAAAGTATGGACCCAATCTGGCCCACCATCTGCTTTTGTAAATAAAGCTTTATTGCAAATAGACAAAAATGTCTTCCTTTGTGTGTTGTCTTTGGCTGTATTTGTACTACGAGGGCAGAGTTGAGTAGTTGCTCTGAAGTCTTTACTGTATGAAAGCTGAAAATTTTTACTATCAAGACCCTTCACAAAAAGTTTGCTGATCCTTGCATTAGATCACGTTCAGATAGCCATTTCCCGTCCTAAGACTGCATGTGAAAACCCAGGTCAACGATTAAGAAATGATCATTTTAAAGATTGAAAACAATGCTCATGCTCCAGTTCCCTTCTGCCGCTCAAGGCTAAATTATTTGAAGAATCCATTGTTTTCCCACTGAACACTTTTGTATGCTTTTTAAAAATGTGCTAAACTATTTTGTCCAAAATTTTCTGCATGCTTTACTGGGTGGAGGTATGGGAAAGACTTTCAGTGTTCTTTACCAAAAATTTTCTGGATAACCTATTTGAAGATTGTCAGGAAATGTGTTGTGGTTAGGACTTCCCTGATAGCTCAGTCAGTAAAGAATCTGCCTGCAATGCAGGAGACCTGGATTCGAACCTTGGGTTGGGAAGATCCCCTGGAGAAGGAAGTGTCAAACAATACTCCAGTATTGATGCCTGGAAATCCCAGGGACAGAGGAGCCTAGCAGGCTACAGTCCACGGGATCACAAGAGTAGGAGGCGACTTAGCGACTAAAATAACAGCGAATTGCTTGTTTAACACCTGAATAAGTATTTACCATATTTGCTGTTGTTCAGTCGCTAAGTCGTGTCCAACTCTTCATGACCCCATGGACTGTAGCAAGCCAGGCTCCTCTGGCCTCCGCTATCTCCCAGAGTTTGCACAAATTCATGTCCAAAGAGTCGGTGATGCTATCTAACCATCTCATCCTTTGCCTCCCCCTTCTCCTTTTGCCTTCAATCTTCCCCAGTATCAGGGTATTACCCTGAAGAATCTATATTTCATCTCTCAAAGGTGGACTGTGATCCCAGCCCCTAGTTTAGGGCAGCAGTTTCCAATTTGATTAGCCTTATCACCTGAGGAGCTTTTCAAACATCTTCGACTCCACCCAACGCTCCTGAATCCATTTCCAAGCTGGGGTTCTAGGACACATTGTCTCTCAGATATTGGGCAGGCCATTCAGCTGGTGACCTGTCCTAGTGATTCACTTGTCTTGTGGCAGATTATTCCCATTTTGCAGTTTAGGAGTCTGAAGCCAAGGTAAATTTTACACTGTTGGCCCACCCACTGCCTCTAGGTTGCAATGCTCTTGCTTGTGCTAGTCCTGTCTCCTTTCTGATCCTGGAAAACTCCTATGCATCCTGCAGGGCCCAACTGAATAGCCACCTTATCCATGAAGCCTTTTCAACACACACTGGGGGCAAGACTAGGCCCTGAGCTCGCTGGCGCTCTCCTTCTCTCTCAGCCACCCCACGGAGGATCACATCACCTCTGGTCGATAAGCTCTGTCTGTGCCACTCGGGGCAGGGGCTTCTGGGGCCAGGATCAGCACGCTCAAACCCACGCAGGCCGTCTTCCGGTGCCAGTGAGAACTCCAGCCTCTTACCTCTATTCTGGGCCCTACTGCAGAATGTGTAGGCCCCCATGAGCTGGAGTCGCACGACACCACCGCCCTTCCACTGGCTCCCCTACGGCCCCAGGACTCACTGTGCTCTCAGGGGCCCCGCTGCCCTGAGCTCGGTGGGAGGGATTGATCTGCAGAGCCACAGCCACCCAGATCCTCCCCTTCTCATCCTCGTAGACGCCAGGCCTCTGGAACCACAGGAAGCAAGGGGGAGATCCAACCGGCGGAGAAGCTTCGGCTTCCATCGCCGGGCTGAGCCTGGAGCGCACCTCAAGGCAAACGAGGAGGCTCCCGGGTGCTCAGCCTCCTTAAGTAGATGGGCATCCACGTGGGGCGGGGCCAGCTATCCTGGGGGCGGGGCCGGTGACCCTCCACAGGGACCGCAGGGCCCAGTGAGCCCAGGGTTTGAGGATAGGAGGGGACGATAAGGGGCGGAGCCAGAAGGAGAGGAGGTGCCTGCCTCTGGGGCCCGCCACGCGGAGGGCTAAAGAGTGTGAGTCTCAGGAACTAGAGACTAACTTGCCCACTCGCCTAACGGGGCAAGCACTGGAGTCAGGAGCCGCAAGGGCCTGGACAGGTAAGAGACTCCCCAGGTACGGGGCCAGGCTTCCTAGGTGGCTCAGTGATCAAGAATCTGCCTGCCAATGCAGGAGACACGAGAGACAAGGGTTTGATCCCTGGGTTGGGAAGATCCCTTGGAGAAGGAAGTGGCAACCCCACCCCATGGGCAGAGGAGACTGGCGGGCTTACAGTCCATGGGGTGGCGAAGAGGCAGACACAACTGAGCCCGCCCGCATTCCATTTCTCAACTAGAGACCGCCATCCCTAGCTGACAGGTGCGGAAACAGGCTTGAGAGGTTTAGTGGCAGGCAGAGGAGGAATGTGAACCCAGCTGTTCCTGGCTTTGACGTCCATGCTGTTTGTCCCCTGCCTTGGCCAAGTCTTGCAGCTATGTGGAAAAGGCAGAATGAGGACTAGGGAGATTCAGAGTGGCTGCTGATGAAATGGTGGGGGGCTCCAGGTGGAGGCTCGGAACACCTCCCCATGGTGGTCCAGAGGTAAGCAGAGGAGGCTCCCATGAGCAAAAAGAAAGAAAAATTTTCTGATAGTGTAGCCGCTGAAAATGAACAGAGCTCTTCACTGATCACCCCTCTCCAGTCATGTGCTCCATCCCAGGTCCCTTGGACCTGCATGGAAGGAAGACTACTGGCAGGTGATGAGAAGGGAAATTTAGATCCTTGTCCTTCAGCTGACTTTTGTCGGTATCATGTCTGAGATGCGGCAGTGTTTCCTGGCCAGGTGTCCATCCGTGGTGCCTGCAATTGGAAGGATTCACTCTCTGGGGTGGGTGTCACCAAAGTCTTCGCAGGCGCTTGCAACTCTCCACAATGGCTCCCGGCAGAGCCTGGTGATGAGTGTGGTCCAGAAGAGGGCGCCCTTCACAAGCCTTAAGTCGGGGTGTCCTGGTGTTGGGGCACTCAGCCTAGGGGGATGATTCTAGACCGCAAGAGGGCACTGAGCAGGACTTGGAAGGCTGGGTCTTGGTCACCAAGATCTCTGCGTGTTTTGCTTGCCTCCTCCCACATACTGAGCCCAAACTGGCCAAGGAAGGCGGGACGCTGGGAGCCTGAAAATAGGATAACATAGATGGGGCTGTTCAGTGGCATGAATTAAGTCTTGGAGAGGGGACATTCAGCGTGTATTTGGAGATCAGAGAATAATGAGGATTAGTCAGTGCTGAGGATGCAGGCTCACAAGATGAGGATAAGAATACAGTAGTGGTATGTGTGGGTAGGTGGATGCTGAGGCTGCCTTGTAAGAATCTAAAATGCCAGTCCAACCAGATGATTTTTATCAAGTTGATCAGGAGCAAGGACAGTGTTTGGGAAAGGGAATGGCATAATTAAACACTTGATAGACGTTTGGAACTAATGATAAAACAAAAGGGTGACTCCGTCATCAGTGACCACTAGAAGTGGACTACATGGAGATGGTTCAGGTGGGATTACAAACAAGAACATCCAGATTCCAGCTCTGCTTATTTCAAACTATCAACAGAATGAATTGACAGGATGATAAAATCGACCCAGCCATGGAACTGAAGAAAAGTTTTGTCTGTCCCAAGTCACTGAAGATATGTACTGTTTTCTTCTAAAGGTTTTATTATTTCATTTTTTATATTTAGATGTAATTTATTTTGTGTACAGTGTGAAGAAGAGATCTAGATTCTTTTTTCCATGTTTGTATCAAATTAATACCATGTATTAAAATGACTGCCCTTTCTCTCCCATACTGTGTTATTACTTCTGTCATAAATCTGGAACATATATATATATATGTAAATAGGTCTGTCTCTGGACTTTCTTTTCTCTTCCATTAGTCTTTTTTTTTTTATCCTTGTGTTGCTAACACATTGTTAATTACTATAGCTTTAAAATAGGTATTTATATCTTGGGGTATAAATCTTCTAACTTTATTCTCCTTCTAGATTGCTTATGTCAACTTTAATGCTGTTTTGTGGTAAGAGTTAATATTTTAATTGGTGAGCTCTGATTAAGCAGCTTGTTCTCCATAATATGGGTAGGCCTCATCCAATCAGCTGAAGGCCTGAATAATAGGAAAAGACTGGCCTCCCCAGGCAAGAAGGAATTCTCCAGCAGATTGCCTTTGGACTTTATCTACATAATTAGTTCTTCCAACTCTCTAGGTTGTGTACCTTCAGTTCTCCTGGGTCTTCAGCCTGCCAGCCCACACTGCAGATCCTGGACTTGTCAATCTCCACAGTAACCCAATTCTTTGTAATAAATATCTTTCTGTATAGGTGCTTCCCTGGTGGCTCAAAATGGTAAAGAATCTGCCTGCAATGCAGGAGACCTGGGTTCGGGTATATATGCACACACACCTTGTTGCTCCTATTTCTCTGTGAAACCCTGACTAATTCAGATAGTCTCTAACCTTTGTGATTCTGTATGAATTTTAGAATTGGTCTATTAACTACCACCTCTCTTCTCCAGAAAGCCTGCTAGGATTCTGATTTGAATTGTGTTCTATCTGTATGTCTGTTTGAGGAGAATTATCATCTCTACCGTATTGTACCTTACCATCTCAGAACTGAGTATGTCCATCCCCCTCCACATTTTAGGCTGTCTTTAATTTTTCTCTGTTTTCATTAAATTTGCTCTTATCTGATTCTACTTTGCCTGCATTCTTAGTGGAAGAGGAAAATTTTAAAACTTGCACCTCATGCTCCTTCTGCTTCTGCAACTCAGCTAGCTCCTTGCAAAGTCATGTAAGTTACATAGTTTCCCAAAACAGAAACTTACAACAGTGCTAGGAGCTGAAACTTACCTCACTCACGCTTGTCAATTACCCGGCCCCTGTGGTTCTGCTTAAGCATGTTTGTCTGTGTAGAGGTCAGGCATCCATCCCTCGCCCCCCGCCTCCCCTGCCCCGCTCTGTCCTAAGGCTGGTCCCCAGTCTGCAAAACCGCTAGTTTAAACTAGCCTGTTAACAGCACTGCCCACTAAAGTCTGGTGTCATGAACTGTCTATAAAAACTCTCTTTTTTTTTTAAATGTAACACCTTTGTTTGTGGTTCAGAGCTGGAAGGGTTAACTCTTCTGGGCCCGCATGCATAATAAACCTGAGTTCTCCCAACTCTCAGATTGTGGTGCTTGCTTTCTCAAGGGACCACCTTCTGCAACACAGTCAGTCATGTCCGCTTCCTTGCAATCCTTCGAACTGTATAGCCTGCCAGGCTCCTCTCTCTGTGGGATTTTCCATGCATGAATACTGGAGTGGGTTACCATTTCTTCCTCCAGGGGATCGTCTCAACCCAGGGATTGAACCCAAGTCTAATGTGTCTCCTGCATTGCAGGCAGATTCTTTACCTGCTGAACCAAGGGGGAAGCCTGATGCTACTTCAAGTAGTAGTATTTTAAACCCTATTATATTTGTTTGATGTTGGTACAGCAAAAAAGCAACTGATTTTAGTGTATTGTTACTATATCCAAAAATTCACTTATGTTGGGAAATTCTAAGCCATTATATCTTCAGTTACTCCTGTCTCATTCTCTCTTCTCCTGTGACTCCAGTTTGCTGGACCTTTTAAACCGTGTGCCATAACTTCTGTGCGCTACTCTGCTTTATTTGAGGTTTAAAAAATATTCTTTGCTCTCTGAGCTTCAATTTTGGTGTCTCCTATTGGCTTATTTTCAGTTCATTAATCCTGTCACTTGCAGTGTCTAATCAGCTCTTTAAGCCAATAAGCTGATTTCTTAACTGCAAATACTATATTTTTCAGGTCTAGACTGTCTGTTTGATGCTTTTCTGTAGATTCGAAACTTCTCTGATAATATCTACCTTTTGAACCATTTTGTCCATCACTTTTTCTGTATCCTTAGATATGTGTGTGTGCTCAGTTGCTCAGATGTGTCCAGTTCTTTGCAACTCCATGGACTGTAGCCCATCGGTCTCTTCTGTCCATGGGATTTTCCAGGCGAGAATACTCGAATGGATTACCATTTCTTCCTCCAGGGCATCTTCCTGACCGAGGTATCAAAACTTCTCAGCCACCAGGGAAGCCCATGGCTAGATAGCTACTCAGTTATTTTAAAGTACTTTTCTTATAATTCTGGGTTATTAGTGGGTCTGCTTCTATTGTCTGCTTTATCTCTTGGTTTTCAGTTACATGATATTTTTTTTTTCCTTTGGGAGTCATTTTTAAAGGAATACCAAATTTTGGGTGGAAAGCCCTGAAAAGTTCTAGATAGTCCTCCCCCAGATAGGCTTAACTCCTTCCTCTGCTGGGCAGACAGAGTGTGATATTGAACCGTTCAATCCTGCTGAGAACAGAACTGAGTCAAGGTCCAGTTATAGTTGCAGTGAGACTCAGTCTATCCCCACCCCCTCCCCCCCTCCTTCACCATTTTCCTGTGGTGTAGCTGTCAGTCAAGAGCCTGGTAGGGCTTTGTCTTCAGCACAAAGAGACAGTAGGAGATTCTCTTCTGCCTTTTCAGGCTTTGGCTTTGCTGTTTAGCATCCTGCGCTTGGCTGCCTCTATTCATTAAAAAAAAAAAACAGCCTCCTTTGGCAAGAAGGCACTGGTCTTGTGTTTGAAGTTCCTCGAGTCTCCACTTTGGTCTGAATGCGTGAGAGTCAGCCAGTGTCCTCAGGAAGAATACAACCACAGGTGCCTGGGTTCACTCCTCTCTCCAGTGCTTTCAGCTTGATTCTCCCCAGGAACTTAAACTCTTGGTGAGTCTTTGTCTTCTCAAGAGACTCCAGAGAGACTT